TCTCTCTCTCTCTCTCTCTCTCTCTCTCTCTCTCTCTCTCTCTCTCTCTCTCTCTGTTCGAAGCAACCCGAGTTTGTAACCGGACTCGTAAAACGACGATGTTCGCGCGCCACGAGAGTTAACGCACGGATTATCCTAGGCGAGGATGATTGATAACACTGTGTCGTGGGCCGGTTATCGGTCGTGGCGTTGTTACGTCCGCGTCAAAAAAAGTGACACTGATAGACCGAGGCCTGTGCCCCTCTCGCCGCTCTCCACGCGACTAGGATAATTCGAACTTACACGCTGTCGCGTGTTAACTCGAACCTCTTTCTTTTTCTTTTTTTTCTCGTTCTCGTCCGCTCTTTCTCGGTCTCCCCTCGATTTCACGCACACAGTTCGTGTTAGGAGCGAGATGGAGAAGACAGTTTGACGAAAATAAACAGAATTTTAAGTTAAGTTAAGAACTTGAATTGCACCATCAAGTTTTTCGATTTAATTAATTATGTTAAAGTTATTTGCTTTATTAAACCTGTATAATAATAAAGCGCATATTATAACAGCTACTTGAATAAATTTTGAGTATTTCAACGTTTAATTACTTGAAGTAATTTTATTTTTAATTAGTTACTTTTTTAAATTAAATTGACTGTATTCTGTTTCCGCCTGAAATTGTTTATCGGTTTCGAATTAAATAATATTATAGCGAGTGATTTCGTGTAAATTCAACTGCGATTCGTTAAACTCGTTAATACTTGAAAGTTATTATATTATATGTTATTATATCGAATTTATTATTATTATTTATTATTATTTATTATTATTATTATTATATTATAAGTTATTATATAAAATTTGATCGAATTACGAACATTAGAACAATTTTCAAATACAAAGCATGATTCCACGAGGGTTGTTGCGAATAGGAGCTCAAACAACTGTTTTCAATAAGTTCGAGCACGTGACAAAAATGTCACGTTTCTTGACACATTTCAACGTCGCTTATATAGTTACTTCTATTTCTCGATGCGCGTTCACCCTTTTTTCTTTCCTTTCCTCTCGAACGGACCCTTTGTCCGCGAGCATCGACGAGCTGGAACACGACGATGCGGCGAATAGAATAACGCGAACGCACAATAGGGAGGTATTGTAAAAAACGATTTTTAGCAACGGTTACGTTTTCGACGAGACACGTGAGAAACGCTCTCACGCTTTCCAACGGGTTTTTTTACGAAATTAAGCAGTCTGCAATCCGCCCCATACACGAAGAAATTAAACGAGATATAAAAAAACATCTGTTTGTTAATCGTTCAAGATCCGTGTATGGAATATCGTAGCAAGAAACGAGTCGTTTTTAATTTAAAAAAAAACGATTGGTCGATTACTCTTTCTCTGAACGTTTTACTCGTTATTTTCCCTCATTTACGGGGATCAGTGAGCTGTAAAATTGAATCGTTCCGCGGAAAACGCTCTCGATTAAAGCTCTGAATCTGATCTGAGAAACGAAAGAATTAAGATATAGAATTAAGATCGTCTCTATATTATTCGACGACCGGTTGAAAGCGAGATATCCGAGCTGTGAGAATCGCGGCCTGGAAACTGGTTAAATGGACTTCTTCTCTCTCCCCTGTCCTGAGAAGTGGTTCGTGGAAAATCGTCGCGAAACATGAAAAGAAACGTTCCAAAGAGAGGCAAGTGTTATATAGGTTTCAACGTTGACAACCGCCATTCGTAACGTTCTTCTGCAGCGATTCCAACCATTCATAATCGTTCTCTCTCTTTCTCTCTCTTTCTCTCTCGTTTTTTAATTATTTTATCACTGATATGTTCGAATCTCTCGCGTTGGATACACGTTAAACTTGATCCCATCGCTAATTCGACTCACGTAGCGACATCTACTGTTTCATTGGTGGAAAGAAGTCTCGCGAGTGTGATTGGTTCACGCGCATTTTTCTATCTACGAATAATCCAATATTTAAACCTCTATGCCTTAGAATCTAGAATATTCTAACTATGTAATATAAAAATTTTTCTATTTCTAATATTACGATTTGTAATTCGAGTAGTGTAAAAATTGTATAAGCTAGATATAGTTTGGAAAATATTTCAGCGTCCATTATTTCATAAATGAAAATAATATTTACGATTTCGAGCGTTCAAATTGTCTTCTACTGTTACGTAGCGCACCAGATGATTCGACAAAGCGTCGGTGAACACTATATTGCTTTCGGTTTCTAGATTACGTTAATTTCTCGTCTCGTTACCGGGCGAGAATCCAGCCGAGATCAGCGGCGTTGATCCGTCCCAGAAATAATGGGGAGGCTCGCGTATATAAAAGTTTGTCGGGGATCCCGCTGAGCGGAAACCGGACGCGGATGGACCAATTATGCGGAGGTTTCTCTCGGACAATTTTACGTTCGAAACATTTTTCGTGCGAATATACGCTCTTCAGGCGCAATTTTTTTTTGCTCAAGTGACGACGAGAAGGAAACGAGAAAGCGCGATGATTTGGATTTAGATCGATCCATATATCGATGGCTTTCTAATAATAAACGGTTCGTTCGTGGAAAAAAATAAGGGGGATTTTTACGAGTTACGTAGTCGTTTCGGTCGATAAGAGAGGAGGAAAAAGAAGGTTTGAAGAAGAAAGGGATAATGGCGGCTCGAGCGTTTACAGGATAAAAAGATCGAGTTAGAAACGGAATCGGATACGAAATATCGCCGCTTCGAAAAGCTTTTGCCTTCGGTCGAATAGAGTCATCATCATCATCATCATCATCGTCATCATCATCATCATCATCATAATCATCGATGAGAGGACGACTCGTCTCGGTAAAATGGCTCTCTCCTCTCTGGCAAAGTATACGAACCAATCCTTTTTACACCGTCGTCGTTTTCTTTTGCCGTCGCCGCAAAAGAAAACGGCGGTGGATCTTTACGGTTCGATGGCGCGAGAGAGAATCTCACGGCTATGTTCTCGGCTACTTTACGACGGCGCTCGCCTTCTAATCGCTCGCTTTTTTCGCTCTTTTTTTTTGCAGAAGCTCCTGGAGAACTTGGATGGGTGCTGACTCTAGTGATAGTGTCCTTAGTGTCGGCGGGTATCGGCGCCGTGGTCATGGTGACGCTTCTCCATTGTCGAAGGTCGGTACGACAACATGCATACCACCCTATTTCTATCCCCTTCTCTCTAAACAAAATTTCTCATATCTCATAACCCTATTATAATTTTTAACATCGTAATCGCTTGCTACTATTTTCAATCCAATTATCGTTCCAATTATCACGATTCTTCGACTTTACCATCGCGAGCGATGTATTATTATCGATATCGATACGCAGAGAAAGAGGGAGGAGAAATTCATCCGGTTGAATTTCGAATCGAAACGCGAGAACGGTAAAACACCTGCGCGCTCCGTTTCCGTGAGATTGATTTCGAAATCCATGCAAAGAGGAA